CCACACACACACACACACACACACACACACACACACACACACACACACACACAAGGTTTCTCTGTCTAACAGCCCTGGCTGCCCTGGAACTCACTCCGTAGACTAGGCTGACCTCAAACTCACAGAGATCCACCTGCCTCTGCCTTCTCCGTGCTGGGATTAAAGGAGGCGTGCATCACCACGACCAGCCAAGTTATTTTTAAGATTTTACTATTTATGCATATGCATGTGTGCAGGTATGTGCATGTGCACGCAAAGTCCATGGAGACCAAAAGATGACATTGTATCTGTCCCCTAGAGGTGGAATTACAGGTGCTTTGTGAGCCGCTTGGTGTGGGTACTGGATCCTCGGTCACGCGGCAGGTGCCCTCAATTACTGCTAGCCACAGAGCTATCTCATGCATGTTCTTTCAGATGTTGAAGGAAGTGACAGGACTTGAGACCGCGTCTAGGGTGCTGCACCTGATCCTGGGGTCGCGCCAACGCCAGCGAGACCCCTCCACAAACCGCCGCCAGGGGGCGCGCGCGGGCCAGGAAGGAGGCGCTTCGCGCTTTGACCCTCTGCGCGGCCCGTCGCAGAGGCAGAGCGGGAAAGTCTGACTCGACCGCGGCCCGCCTGCCCGGGGAGCGCCGCAGCGATGGAGGAGACGGAGGCGGAGGAGGAGCGGCAGTTCTCTCATCGGCAGGTAGACAATTAACGGGGTCCCAGCAAGGCAGGACGGCGAGTTCCTGTATTCCCGGCTTTCCCAGGGCTGGGAGGGTGGAATGTGGGCGCTCACGGGAGAAGGCGGCGCTTGGTTGGCAGAATGCTCGCTCAGCATGCACGAAGCCGTAGGTTCGAGTCCCAGCCCCGCACAAACGGGCCTGGGGTGAACGACTGTGATCCTAGCACTGTGGGGTGGAGGCAGAAGCAAGTTTAAGGTCGTCTTCAGCGATATGTCGAGTTCGAGGCCAACCTGGAATACCTGTCTCGAAGGAGACTGTGGGTGGGGTGCGGTGAAGGGAGAGGGGCTGGGACTGTGCTGCAGAAGCTGAGGCAGGAGAATTATGAGTTTCAGATCACTTAGGTACCATGGGAGCCCCTATCTCGAAAGCAAGAGAGGGCAGGGCGTCGGGCTCAGGCCTTTTCTTCCAGCGCTCAGGAGTCAGAGCTAGCAGCCCTGAGCTTTCGGCTAGCCTAGTCTACCTAGAGAGAGCCTATCAAGGAGAGACCAAGGGATGAAGAGCGAGAGAGAAGCGTTGCTAGCCGAGTCATGGACACCCAAGTGCCCTCAGTTGTTTTCTCTTGTTGGCATCTTACTTTCTTTGTTTTCTTGTAGCAAGCCGCCGTTCTCAGGTAGTTGGGCTCCTATTTAAGTGTTAAAGCCCTGACCCCGCTTAGAGATCAGCTGATCACCATTTTAGCCTGCTGGAGGCTCTAAGTTCAGATGAGTCCAGGCACTCGCCTTTGATCCCAGCCGTGGGGAGGCAGAGGCAGGCGGCTCTCTGAGTTCCAGGCCAGCCAGTGTTAACAGCGGGACCCTGTCTAAGAAATAAAATAAAAATTCAATGAAATGAACAGGTCAAGGTCAGGGTGGCATAGTTCACCTCTTCCCCATAGTTTATCACATTTCAGAAGTTTGCTCAGTGTTTGGAGACTGGTCCCCATTGTTCATGCTGGCCTTGGAGTTCAGATCTCCTGCCTGTACCTCCCCCGTGCCCAGACGTCAGGCACTCGGTGCAGCCAGGCCTGGAACAGCCGTCTAACTTGAATGGAATTCCATTGTTGGCTGTACAGTCTGCAGTCGAGTGCCTCCATTTGACCTGCAGGTTTACTTGCCTTCTCTCTTTATCTGGGATCAAATCAAGGGTTACTCTTGTCTCCCAGGCCTTCACTTTCTATCTGTGACACCAGCAGATGTGAAGAGAGCGATAACAGCCAGGGTGGGATGGGAGAGCAGGAGCTATGGGTTTTTTTTGTTTGTTTGTTTTGTTTTGTTTTTTCGAGACAGGATTTCTCTGTGGTTTTGGAGCCTGTCCTGGAACTAGCTCTTGTAGACCAGGCTGGCCTCGAACTCACAGAGATCAGCCTGCCTCTGCCTCCCCACGGCTGGCATTAAAGGCCTGTGCCACCACTGCCTGGCTGCAGCCCCCCCCCTTTTTTTTTTAAAGACAGGGTCTTATTGTTTAGCCCTGGCTAGCCTGGAAATCACAGAAATTCCTCCCCGCACTACCTCCCAAGTTCTGAGATTGAAGGGCACACCCCACCACGTCTAGAAGTCTTGTTTTTATTTTTTTATTTAATTTTATTATTATTCGTTTGTGTGTGAGGTGCTAGAGATCGAGCTTGGGACCTTACACATGCTGGGCAGGCACTCTGCCACTGAACTACACTACCGGGTCTTTTTGTTTCTGTAGAATCAGCTCTGAGAGCAAAGCCTGGCTTACGAGACAGTAAATGCTCACTGATTAAATGAGGCCAGAAAGAACTCAAGTGGGGCGGTGGTGGCGCACGCCTTTAATCCCAGCACTCGGGAGGCGAAGGCAGGTGGATCTCTGTGAGTTTGAGACCAGCCTGGTCTACAAAGGGAGTTCTAGGACAGACAAGGCTACACGGAGAAACCCTGTCTCAAAAAGCAAACAAGAAAAGAGCTCAAATTTGCATCTCTGCTCTGAGGACTCCAGCACCCACTCCACCAGCATTCCTGGCACGCAGACTGTGTGGGATAAGGTAGACAAGGTGCTGCCCTTGAGTTTCAAGTCTCGTGACTTAGCCTCCAAGATCTAAAGTGTGGCAGAAGGAAGGCGGCCCAGCAGGAGCAGACAAAACTTCCTGGAGCCAAATGTGTTCAGGATTCTGCGTCCTGTCCCCAGCCCCCATTCACATCTAAAAGGGCCTTCAGGGTCTTCGACCTTCTAGGTTGATGATTCTTTTGATCTCCTAAAGGCTGGATTTGCTTGTCTGATGTCCGAGCAGACAAGGAGGTTGGGAAACAGGTCCCAAGCTCATCTTCCTGGCTTCGCCCAGAGGCCCTGGACCATCTGAGTGGTTGCCCCTCATCCTGCCTGTGTAGTGAATACTTGTTAGTGTCTTGATTCAGGTGACACCACACCCGCCTGGGCTCTGTCTTCCAAACAGAGCAGCCGTGACTATTTGAGAGACCCTCACCATCAGGCTTGCGGACTGTTGATGCCCCTCATCGGAAGGGGGTAGGGCCGGTAGCCCCTCACCTGATCTCAGTCTCCCCAGCCTGCCCTCCCCAGACAAGCTGTATATAATTCTGCCCTAGTTGCACTTGGCCTCGGGGTTTCGGGGGCGAGAGAGAATATGGACTAGGTTACCAGGAGGAGGCACTCAGTGTGCAATCGGGGGAAGTTATCATCCATGCTGGGTGAGACTGCGGTCCTGTGGCTGCTCTGGGCTCACCCGTGCTCTGTAGGTGAGCCCACTAAATACATTGGTTCCCCAAGTTAGACATGGGTGATGGATGGTACTGTTTGCTGGTGCCCTGTGAAGAGGGGTAGAGATTGGTTTACATCTCTGCGGGGAAGGAGGTCACACATCAGTGGAGAGACCGCAGGGCTACTGCCTTGCTTGCTCTGAGCTACTTCCCCTTGGTATCTCTGCCTAGGAAGGAATGACACTTTCAGTATCTAAAAGGCTTTCTGGGGACTAGGATGCGGCTCAGTGGGAGTGTTTGCCTAGTGTGTGAGGCTCTGGTTCCATCCGCAGCACTGCCAAAAATGGGGGAGGGTAATTCCTGTGGGACAGGAAGACCATTGCGGTGGCTGGTGACCCTGTAGACCAGAGGATGGTCAGATGCATAGTCATCAGCCCTTGCTGCCCTGTTCCCTGGGCCTGGAGGCTGTTAGAGACTTGGAACCAAGGCCTGGGATCTTTCTGTCTTTTGTTAGCTATTTTAAGGCCGCAGACTGGTTTCTCACTGTATTCCCCAGATGGGCCCTCAGCGCGCAGAGCCTGGACAGTAGCTGAAGGATGCAGCAAGGGCTGCCGTCATTGCTCCTTGCTGACTAGCGTGGTTTCTCATCTTTATGGGACCTAAATCATAACCATTAGTTGGAAAGTCATGTCCCCCCAAGTCACACTCTAGAGGGTGTCGTTAACTGATAGTGCACTTGCATGTCACTCCGCCATGATGGAACGTTGTGCAGGAATTAGGCCGGGCAGCCCCTCTCCCTGGTCTTCACTTGAGGATGTGTGATTTCCCTGCAGAGGCTAAAGGCAGCAGTTCACTACACAGTCGGCCATCTGTGCAATGAAGTGGCCTTGGACAAACAGGTGCAGTTCAACAAGCAGACCGTGGCAGCCATCGCGGAGGTGACTTTCCGACAGTGCGGTACGAGGCCAGGACATCTCTGTGGGTTTGGCCGGGGGCCCGAGTGTGTGTGACAGCTGCGCCCTGGCCCTCACTCATGAGGAAATCAGAGTTCTTACTAACCCTACTTGGGGCAGACATACAGGGCGGTCCCTAGCGAACAAAGATGTCATCACTCACAGGTAGGACAAGGCTTGTAAGAGGAGTGGAGGGTGCTGGGAAGGACAGGGATGCAGCCACGATTTGGAAAAGCTGGTGGGGCGGGGTGTGATGCACACTTTAATCCAAGCACTCAGGAGACAGGCAGGTGGGTCTCTTGAGTTCAAGGCCAGCCTGGACCAGTGAGTTTCAGGACAGCCAGTGCTACACAGAGAAATCCTGTCCTGAAGAACTTTAAAAAAAAAAAAAAAGAAAGAAAAGAAAAGTTGGTAACTGCTGGCCTGGGGTGCCGTTGCTTGCCTCCGAGGTTTGCCGAGTCTGCTGACTAGAAGCCTAGGCTTCAGTCCTGAGGTGGAGATGGGCCAGCTGATAGCTATTTTTTCCCCTCTCTTTCAGAAAATTTTGCCAAAGACCTTGAGATGTTTGCCAGGTGGGTAGAAGAGTTGGCTGTGTAATTGAGATCCATTGACATCACCGCCCCCATCTGGTGGTGTATTTCAGTTCTGTGGCGCCTGTTTGCTGGGGGCTCGTGCCTGATGACGAAGCTACAGGGACCTAACATCTGCTCCAAACACGTCATTTGAGATCGTCTGGTATCTCCGAGTCCTTTTGAAGGTCTCTCACTGACTGAGGTCTGAATGGCGGCCCCAGGACTGCAGTGTGCGGCTGCCTGTTTTAAAAACCCTTTCTTGGGGAGGTTGCGATTGCTCAGGATGTGGGAAGTTGGGGGTCAGTCCCCCTGTGGAGAGGGCCTCAGAGCGCCACAGCCCTGATTGCTTGCAGGTGTCATAGAATGACAGGCAAGGGCTTTCATTCCGTGCTTGCTATGAGGAAGACTAATCTTCCCGGGAAGGGGGAGGCTTGCCTTCAGCTGGAGAAGCCTGAGCTCTTACAGGTGATTTATGTTCGGCTCTTCAATTAGTACCTCAGGTAATTGGAAACCATTGCTTTTATGCAGCCGTTGGAATGGCTGGGGCCTGGGAGGGCTGAAGCTTCTCTTTTGCCTCTGCTCACCTCAGCCTCTGGGCCACACTTCTCACCTTGCCCCTCTGCACTGATTCTCAGATGAATCTTTCCGCTAAATTAAAGCAGGGGGCTCTAAATCTTCCCCTTCCTGTATATATTATCAGTCCCTAAAAACTGCTTGGCATCGTCAGCTCGGCTGAGGGGGATACGGTGCTATTATGGGATGCTGACAGCTCATTCAGCTGCTGCTTATTTGTGCCCCACCCCTAAGTCCCACGAAGTATCTATCACCTTCAATTCCCCTTTCTGTGTTAGCTGTGGAAGTCAATGAAATTCTTAAAAAATGTTTTTGTGTGGTTCCAGAAACAAGCTGGGCATGGTGGGACAGTCTTGGTGCTTGGGAAGGTGAGGCAGGAGGAGTCCACGTTCAAGACTGGCCTGGCTCCATAGTGAGGCTGTCAGAACAATCCAGAAGCTGGGCTGAGTGGTGGCTTCAAGAACAAGAGCATTTGTTCTTGTAGAGGTCCCAAGTTCAATTCCAGACCCACACCATGGCTCACAACTGTTAACAACTCCAGCGTCCTCTTCCATCCTCAGGCACGAGGACACGTGTGGGAGAGAGACATACATGCATACACGTAAAAATTTAAAATCCAGAAGCTAGGAGTTAGGATGCAGTTCAGTGACAGTCACATGGTTGGCATAGAAATGAGACAGTTTTAGTATGGGTGCCCACAGAGGCCAGAAGAGGACCGTGGGTCCCCTGTAGCTGGAGTTGTGATCTGCCAGATGCAGATGTTGGGAACTGAACTCCACCCTCTGCAAGAGCAGGGAGCAGCCCTCTCTGCAGGCTTGGAGGAGGATGTGAAGGACCTCGGTCCAAGCTGTGAGCAAGAGGCAGAACCAGTTTAAAGGCAGGTCTCAATTCTGCCGGACTCTCGTGTGTGTGTGTGTGTGGGGGGGGGGGATTCAGAGCTTGCAGGGAAGTGGGTTCTAGGAGGAGCTGCAGGTGCTTTGTCTGTGATTCAGTCCTGGAGAAGAGCTTCAAGAGCCAGCATCATGGCTGTTTTCTTGCCCGTTCAGCTAACGTTTACTTATGCAGAGCAGTCGTGTCTTACGATGACTCCTTTCTCTCCACCAGCCTTGCATACGCACCTTGCGTGGTCTGTGGTCTTAACAGACGACTGCGATAGAAAGGGTGGAGTGAGATGGGGGTCTAACCCTTCTCTGCTCTCCAGCACAATGGCTCACAGACACAGTTGACAGATTGTCTTCAGTGTCCTCTGTGGAGTTGGTACCCTGTAGCATGGTTACTAAAACCCAGAGACAGAAATTGGGGTTCAACCTGAAGACCAGAAGAGCAAAGCAGCCAACCACTGGCCCTTATCTCTACCTGAGTCTGAACTGGCGATCCTGCCTTCAGGAATCTCAGAATGAGACTGTGTCTGGGAGCTGTCTCCTCCCATCTTATATTCCTCTCTAGTGCTGGGATTAAAGGTGTGCACCATCACCGCCCGGTTTCTTTGGCAAACTAGTGTGGCTACTGGGATTAAAGGTGTCACCACTGCCTGGTCTGTGAGGCTGACTCTCTGATCTTCAGGCAGACTTTGTTTATTAGAATACAGTTGCTGCAGTGTCCTGGCTAGGAACCTTGCTCATTTCTGTGTCATGATTGCCTGGTGATTTGACTCTGATGGGATGGGTTAGGCATCCTTGTTCCTCCGGCCGTGAACTTTTATGTCCCGTCCTAACTTTAACACCACAGTTTGGTGACGTGTTTCTGCCCTTTCTGCAGACACGCGAAAAGAAGCACAGTTACCACTGAGGACGTGAAGCTCTTAGCCAGGCGGAGTAATTCACTGGTGAGAGATGAATTTCTTCCTCACCCCCCCAGAATACATTATTCCCAATTAATCACTTGAAGGCGTGTAGTTATTCTCCAGGGCACCTTGCATTAAAAACTGGAGATGGCTGAACCATTCAGACCTCCTGTAATTTATAGCCCTCCTTTCATCATGATAGATCTTGCAAAGCCAATTTGAAATTTTCTAATCAGCTCTCTCTGGATTCCATAATTTACCTTTTTTGTAATATCTCAAAACTTTGGTGCCATGTTCCATTTATAATATGATGTCACAGACCAGTCATGGGTTAGTTGGTCTATGGGGATGGTTTCCTTGTGGTACCCACCCCACCCCCACCTAATGTTAGGGATTAAAAGTAGGGCCTTGTGCATGCTAGTCAGATGCTGTCTGTACCACTGCACCACATGTCCTGACCCTTTATTCTGTGTGTGTGCGTTTGCCCACATTTGTGCCTGTCTACCGTGTGCGTGCCTGGTGCCCGTGGAGGTCAGATCCCCTGGAACTGGAGTCACAGGTGGCTGTGAACCACAGTGAGTGCTGGGACTCAAAACTGTGTCCTCTGTGAAGGTAGCAAGTGCTGCAAACCACAGAGCCTCTCTCCAGCCTCAGTTCTTGTTCTGAGACAAAACAAGGGGCATGCTGAGTATACAGCCAGTCTTGAGCTTGACTTTTAGCCTAGGTAGGCTTTGAACGTGCGACAGGTATGCCCCCAGGCCTAGCCGTACCACAGTTCTGACAGGCTGGGGACGGATGGAAGCCTGCCAGGTCAGTTATGCAGGCAAGCACAATTTCTATTTTTTCACATCTAAAAAATCATTTTGACCAAACTGTCGTTTTCTAGGTGAAGACTCTTGACACTTAGAGGTGCCAGGGTCACCTGACGGTAGCTAACGGATCTAGAATACCATAACCCTGCCGGGTCTCAGCCTCTGAACTGTCCCTCTCCGTCTTCAGTTCAGTTTTAGTGCTCATATTTGGAATCCTGGAGAAGGCATAAGTTATTGTGATTATTTTTAGGTTTACAAATAAGTTTACAGACAGATGTAAAGACTTAAATATAGTTTTGCTTTTTATGTACCTACATAGCTAAAATACATCACAGAGAAAAACGAAGAGATTGCTCAGCTCAACCTAGAGCGAAAGGCCAAGAAGAAAAGGAAGCCAGAGGATGAGAGCAGTAACTCCACGGATCCCGCTGCCGAAGTGGTGGACACTGAGACTTGAGTCCTGGCCACGTGGGACCCAGTGGCCTTCAGCACGCGCAAGTGTGCCCACCACCAAGGGCAGTCAGAGGGATAAGTAGAGGCGTCTAAAAGAAACACGTGGCTGGGCAGTTTTTCATGCTGCCAGTTTCAAGACATCTGAGGGCAGCTTGGAAGAACCAGGCGCTCCTCGCCTGCAGAGTGTCCACGTGCCATCCCTGGCACGGGCGAGGCTGGCGTCTGGATGGCACACTGACGTGCTGAGGCTGATGGCTCATGTTAGCAGTTAGACATGCTGGGTTTGGGGTGAGCCGTCCTTCACTGCCTACTTTCTAGGCCGAGTGACAGTCTCTGAACAGTGAATAAAGCTGTTTCCTTAGCTCTGGCTGCTAAGGTTCTTTCAGACCCGTGGCCCCTTGATCATCTGTGAAAGATGGTGCTGGGGATGGGATTTCTCGTTCCTTAGCGCACCTTTGTAATGAAGCCTTGGCTTTGCTGAGCAGAGGTCGCTTGAGGGGGAGTCTGGAGCTCCAGTGTGAAATAGTGGTGCAGGGGGCCGCATAGACTTCAGGGCCCACTCTTTCCCTTATACAGTGGTAGGGTCCAAAGGGTGGCCTAGGGCCGGCAAGGTAGCTCAGTGAGTGAGACATTTGTCAAGCATGGTGACCGAGTTTAATCCCATGCTGGAGGAGAAAACTGATTCCCAGAAGTTGAGAAGGGACGAGATCTTTCAGAAGGCGCCTTCCGGCCTTCAGTTTGCTTTAGGTATGAGCCTTCCTTGGGTCCTGGTGGTCTCTAGTGGCCTGAGAGGGGTTTCAGGTCTGGGCAGCTCTGAGGGATTGGTACATTTGGCCCCACAAGTCTTTTTTTTTTTTTTTTTTTTTAAATTCAAATTTTTGGTTTTTTGAGTCAGTTTCTCTGTAGCTTTGGAGCCTGTCCTGGAACTCGTTCTGTAGGCCAGGCTGACCTCAAACTCACAGAGTTCCACCTACCTCTGCCTCACAAGTTTGGCCATTCCTTTTCTGGACCAAAATAATAAGCACCATAGCCGGGCGATGGTGGCGCACGCCTTCAATCCCAGCACTCGGGAGGCAGAGGCAGGCAGATCTCTGTGAGTTCGAGGCCAGCCTGGTCTACAGAGCTAGTTCCAGGACAGGCTCCAAAGCTACAGAGAAACTGTCTCAAAAAAAAAATAATAATAATAATAATAAGCACCACCAATTTTAGAATTAGGCGTGTATTTCCAAGTGCTGGGACTAAAGGTGTGCGTCAACACGCACGGCCTGTGTGTGGGCACATGCATGTGCTATGGTGTGCATGCTCGTATCTCCCAGCATGCTGGCTCCAGGGGACTGATAGGCCGTCAGGCTTGGTGACAGGCTTACCTGTTGAACCATCTCACTGGCCTAATTTAAAGAATGTGACACTTGCTAACACGGGGAGTTTGGGAAGCCCTAGACCATGAACTATGCTCAGTGTCACTGGGATGCAGAAAGCCCTTGGTTCCTCCTATCCTTCTGCATCAGCATCTGTACGTCAGTGAGTTGGAGGTCTGGCTGAAGACCCAGGGTTTGGCCCGGGCAGAGGGCAGTGCTGGGATGTAGCACCTGCACTACAGGACGGGACCGGGAACTACACACTCACACAGACAGAGACACAGGGACAGGAACGTGGGTCATCCTTGAAACAAGATGCCCCCTGTATTGTGTACCAGGGCAGCTTATGTAGGGATCCTTAACTGATAGCCACGCCCCAGCCAAGCCCACCAGAAACTCCCCTGCCTTCAGGAACTCCTGAGGGTCTTCTGCTCAGAGCAGCTGCAAACACAAGAAAACAAGTCATTTACAGGAAATTCAGGGTCTGGGGGTCCACAGCCCCCAACACTGGGACAAGCTCTTGGTTCATCCCTTGTGTGGGTGAAACCCTGCTGTCCTGTGTCCCCGAGTCCTCTGTGCACCTATCACTCCTCCAGCAGATTCAGGCAGACTTCATTTCTGATCTGGGGACGGAACCGGAGCCTCACACTTGACAAGCACGTGCCGTGCCGTGCTGTGCTGCACCCCCTTCCTCAGCTTTGCTTTCTGATGGGTAAGATCCCACGTTTGAAGCTCTTTACCCAAGCCTAATTTCCTATTCTGTTAAATCGCTCGACTTTGTCCTAATGGCTTCCTGCTTGCTGCAGGCACAATTACAAGGAAACCAAACTTCCTCACTGCAAATGCGCACGCACGTGTTCTAAAATGAGAGCCGATCCACACTGGCGCAGGAAAAGTCCTGAGTCTTTAATTAAGGGGCTAAATCCAACCTCACGAATGTTTCTGTGAGAACTGATTGCTCCGGCTTGTGCGTCACGGCACGAGTGGAGAGGCATGCAAGTTTTCAGTGGATGTGTGCAGGCCCCAAAACAGCTGGCACGGGAGCTTAAAATACCAGAGCTCCAGAGAAAGACCCCATCCGCAGAGCACTGACCTGCGGACAGCCCAAGAGGATGGGTGGCTGCCGAGCCAGAGGCCAATGGCTGTTGGCCTTCGGGCTGCTGCTGCTGTGGGGGGCTGTGGCCACTGCCCTTCCGCTGGAGCGTGGTCCCACCGGCCAGGACAGTGGGGTGAGTACGGTCCCTACCCAGTGAGTTGCCGTGCGCGCGTGTGTGAGTGTGTGTGTGTGTGTGTGTGTGTGTGACCCCAGGATGCTACAATGTACCATTCAGACCACTGGTCTCCCTTGCCCTCACTTGTTCAGGGGCTCTTAGCTGGTGTCCGCTTTGACTTCTCTCTGTCAGCGAGAGCTTGTGGTCCAGCTCCTGCCAGTATTGGTCACACGGACGGCGAGAGCCTTAATTTACGCTCGCTCACATTAATTCCTGCCATCCCTTTCTCTACGATATAAATTCCTAATTTCATCAAATGATTTACTTTCTCATTTTTTTTTTCAATTTTGAAAAGATTCCAAGAAAGAGTACATAAAGTTGACCATTAGAAACGGATTTTTCTCTGAAGTTACCAGCTGAGTTTCCGGCGGGTCGTTTATCATCAGAATACTGCTAGCCGGTTTCCCAAGGGGTTTGAAAGACCAGACCTTAGCCTCTTTGTCTCTTCAGGTCTCCGAACACCCAGCATGGGTGTCTGGTCTGAAAACAGTAGCAAGTTAAATGAACCTGTCTGCCCTGGGTGTCTGTGCCGTCAGTCACCTGGGCAGCTCTCTCAGAGCTAAGGACCTCAGCAAAGAGTGTTAGAAGGGAGAGGGCAGCAATTCACTCATCGGTATTTTGAGACAAGGTCTCACTCTGTAGCCCTGTCTAGCCTCAAACTCACACTAATCCAGCTTCCTTTGCCCACAAGTGCTGAGGAAAACCTGTGCTACCATGGCTGGGAAAATTAGAAAAAAAAATTTATTTGTCCGTTTTCCTCTGCAGAGCAGTTTCTCTAGGATTCTCCAGATGCAGCCTTTGAAGGAAGTGTGGTTTGTTAAGGAGAAGCTTGCCATCTGGGAGGAAGCCTGGGAGGGAGCGGCTGGCTCTCCTGAGGCTGACTGTGTCCAGGGCTTGCTTCACTCTGCCTTGTTCTTGCTTCTCTGAAAACACAGGAAGCTGCGGAAGGGAAGAGGGCCAGCCTCCTGACTTTCCTTGCTTGGTGGCACGGGTGGACCTCCCAAGCCAGTTCCAGCGCCCTCATCGGAGGGGATACCAGCGAGGTGTCTAGGCGACAGGAAAGCCCACTTCTCCAGCAGCCCCCACGCCGGGATAAAAAGCCCTGCAAGAACTTCTTCTGGAAAACCTTCTCCTCTTGCAAATAACCCTGCCCTGGCCACCCCTGGAAATGCACCCATAGTCTGAATAAAGAGTGTTGGGCAGCATGGAGCTTTCTTAAGTCAACTTTTCTTCCCAGGCCATGTGAAAATTACTAAATTTCAGTAATGGCCACTACAAATATTGGTGAAATAAGGAACTGGAAACCCATAGGGAACCCTCCAACTCAAAATTTGGTGGTGCTTGCCAGAGTGTATCCAGCAGGACCACTGGGCTTCCATCCTGGTTCTGGGAGAGAGGGCTTCTCTCAATTGAAAACAGCTAAAAGTGTGTGTGTGTGTGTGTGTGTACACAGCACACAATTTTTTCAACAAGGTCTGTGTAAGCTCAGGCTAACTTCAAACTTCCAGTGTAGCCAAGAATGACCTTGAAATGACCCTCCTGCCTCTACTCCTCAAGGGCTCAAGGTTACATTTTTAAGAGTTCCAAACAGCGCCTTCGGTTTATTTTTGGCTTTTGGAGATTGGGTCTCACGTATAGCCCACTTGGTCTTGAACTCACAGCCTGTCTTCATCTCTTGACTGCTGGGATTACAGATGCACCCTTGCAGCCAGCTCTATTCCAGTCTGTTTTAATATGAGTTGTCTAATTTAAAGTCTCCCCAGACCTGAGGCAGAGTGCGTGCCCACAGCCACAGGGTCTCCCCTGCTCCTCAGCACTGAAGTTCACAAGCCAGTGAGCAACACTGCTCAACCAGCACCCTGGTTATTCCTCATAGTTTAGCTAAAATTAATTTTGAAACTACTGTTGTGCTGTTAAGCTGACACCATGCTGACATGCTTATAAAAGTTATATTCAAATTCGCTCTGCAGCAGTTTTAATTAGAAATATTGATTTGTTACATTTCTTTTCCCCGCCTGTAGCTTCAGTTTTACTTTGTGAGAAAAGACATCTAACAAAAGCATAACACGGAGCAGCGCTGCCCCATCCAGCCATTTGGAGACAGGGAGTCACGGTTTAGCCTCTGGCTGGCCTGCGCCTTGGTGTGCAGACCAGGCCGGCCTCCAGTGCACATTGAGCCGCCTCTTTCTGCCTCTCATGTACTGGGACTTGGGGTGTGTACCACATTGCCTGGCTTGCCTTGACTTCTGATACAGGTACCCCCAAAATTCAGTATCCATGATTTGAATGAGAGAAAGGGGGGAGGCCATGACTGCTCCTAGGTGTGGTGGAGAACGTTTACTGTAGATAAAAGCCAGAGCACAGCCAGAGGCAGGAACAACTGGGAGAGTCCAGAGTGACGTGACCAGGCTGAGCTGGGCCATGTGAAGAGATGGGGAGTGAGGGGGAAGCAGGTGCAGCAGCCAGGAGGCCAAAGGTAAAGGGGAGGTTACCAAAATGCCTGGATTATATAGGAAGAGCCTCTGGGGAAGGGCAGGTGTGCCAGCCATACCCTGTAACAGGTAGGGACTGAGGGATGCTGGGAGAACCTGGCAGCCAGATCGGCTTTGATGAGTTAGACACCTCAGCTGCTTGTCCCGGGCTTGAAACTTAACACACACTTAATGCGCAATCGTCACGGCAGCTTTTCATGTTAATTTCCAGTGAGTAACAGATGAGAGGCCATTCCGTGTCTGATCTGACCGCAAGCTGCACTGACCTCCCAGCTAAGCAGGATTTTGGTCTTCCCCAGGAAGCAGGAGAGAAATCACTATTCCCAAGTTTAGCATGTTTCAATTCTCCCCCATAGCCCTGAAATCCTTTCCGGTCCTACACACTTGAACTGTTGAGCCACGGTCATTAGGAGAAACACTAAGTGTGAAGGCTCGAGATGCTAAACTTTTGTTCACTGCGCACGCGGCGTCAGCACGGCTGCAGACAACAGTTCTCTAATCCACTGAGTTGCTTCCAGGGCTCAAACCAGGGTTCTCAGGCTTGGGAGCAATTGCCTTTCATCACTGAGTTGTCTTGCAGACTACCAAGACTGGCAGGTTGGGTGTGGTGGTTCAGGGCGGTGATTGCTGCCCTCAGGAGATTGAGACAGGAGGGTTGCTGTGAGTTCAGGATCAGCCTGGGCTGTATAGTTCAGGGTAAAACCCTGACTTACACCTCCTCCCTCTTCAAAAGGCCGTGGCAGTGGCTGAAGGCCTCTGCAGTGGGTGGATCTTTCTTTCAGTGTGTGGCGAGAGGCTGGGATGCAACTGCCTACAACTCTGCATTTAGAATTACATCAGCTTCTGAGAGTTGGACCTAAAATGGGGGAAAAGCCCAGGGCTGGCTCACCAGGATGAGCTTCATCCTCTTCTCTGGACACCAGGGAGCGGACTCCAACTGTGACTGCTGACTTGGCTCTGTGGTCCTCAGAGCTGAGTCCGGCCGGCCGTAATTACTAGCTGAGTACGGCAACATGGTGATGGATGGAGCCGCATCTCAATCTGCACAGCAGCCTAGGGACCAGTGCTGGGTCCGTGTACTGGTGGCCGATGTCCGGCTGAAAGGCCAGAGAGGCTCCAGAAACTGGTCTTAAAAATTTTTTTCTAGAACAGAGGTGTATTAGTGTTTTAAATTCACCTGGAGTCTTCTCTGCACTGTCCTTGAGGCTGTGAACTTACCTTAGCTATGCCCCCCTGGAAGACAATAAAGCTAATGATCCTGTCAGGCAGTCTGTTGGTTCAGGCTACCTAAGTTCAGGACTTTGTTGTTGGCCTCAGCTGTGTTAGACTGTCTGCGGTTTGCAGGTATTTGGCCTTGATATACTCACAGGGGGTGGTGGCACTATCAGGAGGTGTGGTTCTGTTGGAGTGGGTGTGGCCTTGGAGGAATGTGTCAATGTAGGGGTGGGCTTTGAGGTTTTCCATGCTCAGGACACCACCCAGTGTCTCAGTTAACTTCCCGTGGCCTGCAAGATGCAGGACTCTAAGCTACTCCTCCAGTACCATGTCTACCTTCATGCCGCCAGGATGATAATGGACTAAACCTCTGCAAACTGTAAGTGAGCCACCCCAATTAAATGTTTTCCTTGTAAGAGCTGCTGTGCCAGGCAGTGGTGGTGCTCGCTTTTAAACCCCAGCACTTGGGAGGCAGAGGCAGGCAGATCTCTGTGACTTTAAGGTCAGCCTGGTCTACAGAATGAGTTCCAGGACAGACTCCAAAGCTACAAAGAAACCCTGTCTTGAAAACAAAAAAAACCCTAACTGAGACAGAATGGATCCATATGCTCATGATTAATACATGATTAATAAGTTGGGAATAGGTGGGTGAAGTACTTGCGCTCATGAGGACCTGAGTTTGGGTCCCTGGCACTCATGTAAAGAAAGCCAGGAGATAGCCGGGTGGTGGTGGTACTCGCCTTTAATCCCAGCACTCGGGAGGCAGAGGCAGGAGGATCTCTGTGAGTTCGAGGTCAGCCTGGTCTACAAAGCTAGTTCCAGGACAGGCTCCAAAGCCACAGAGAAACCCTGTTTCGAAAAAAAATGAAATATAATAAAAAGCTGGACTTGAAACATACCTGTTGGGTATGAGCCTGAGGCTGGAGTCATCCAGCCTGNTTATTTATTTTATATAGTGTTCTGCCTGCCCACCAGAAGAGGGCACCAGATCTCATTACAGATGGTTGTGAGCCACCATGTGGTTGCTGGGAATTGAACTCAGGACCTCAGGAAGAACAGCCAGTGCTCTTATCCTCTGGGCCATCTCTCCAGCCCCAGAGCACACTTGTTCTTGTTTTTGTGTTTTGGAGACAGGGCCTATGTAGTCCTGGCTATCCTGGAACTCACTGTATAGACCAGGTTGGCCTCAAGCTCAGAGATCCACCTGCTTCTGCATTCTGAGTGCCCCCACACCAGTTTAGAGTGTGCCTTTCTGTAGCTGGTGTAGTCAGGATATGGCCAGTGTCACAAGACCTGCGCAGCTGACTCTAACCCGGAGTTTATCACTGGTTATTTGACTGCTGAGGAAGAGTTGAGTGTCCTTCACTTCCTCCACAGGATTTGTAATTTTGGGGTAAGAGCAGAGGATGCCAGGCTTTGGAGCCTTGCTTGGACCAGTAAACTCAAGGGACTCACCTTGCACATCTTAATCAGTAGCTTCCACGGGAACGAACCAGGAAAGAAAGCATCTAGTTATTTGACAAAAGAGACACTCTCTTTTTAGGTGGGGAAGAAGCAAGAGCAGCCAAGCGACCCATTATTCATGACTTCTTTCTGAGGCCGCATCTCATGTCACTGTGCTGGTTTGAAGACGTCCCCGTAAGTCCCAGGCATTTGGATGCTTGGTCCCCAGCTGGCAGATGTTTGAGGAGGATCAGGGGAAATATGTCACCTGAGGGGTGATGTTTCAGAGGACGAGGACGTTATCTGCTCTGCCTGTGGTCCGAGACGTGCGCTCCCTCTTGTCAGTGCCTTGCTCTCATCATGGACTTAACCATCAGGAACTGTAAATCCAATTCAACTTTGTGTGTGTGTGTGGGGGGGGTTATTTTATCTATGGGTGTTTTGCCTGCATGTGTGTCTATGCACCATGTGTCTGGCTGGAGCCAGAAGAGGTAACACCTGTGAAACTGGAGTTATGGACACTTGTGAGCCACCCTGTGGTGCCAGGAATCCAACCCAAGTCCTCTGTAAGAGCCAGTATTGTTGTTGTTGTTTTTCAAGACAGGGTTTCTCTGTGTAGCTCTGACTGTTCTGGAACTTGCTGTGTAGATCAGGATGGCCTCAAACTCAGAGATGTATCTGCCTCTGCCTCCCAAGTGCTGGGATTAAAGGCCTGAACAGCACCATATCTGGCCCCAAGTTTCTTAAAACCACAGGTAGGAGCCAGGCAGTGGAGGCACGTGCCTTTAATCCCAGCACTCGGGAGGCAGAGGCAGGAGGATCTCTGTGAGTTCAAGGCCAGCCTGGTCTACAGAGTGAGTTCAGTCAGTTCCCAGTACCACATCAGGTAGCTCATACACTGCCTGTAACCATCTCCAGGAATCTGATGACTCTGACCTCCGAGGGCACGTGTGTGTGTGTGTGTGTGTGTGTGTGTGTGTGTGTGTGTGTGTATGCATGTGCATAATTAAAACTTTAGAAAAAACGTAAAAGAAAACTAATAAAAACACAGCAGAAAGCCAGCACAGTGGTGTACACTTTAATCCCAGCACTCAAGAGGTAGAGGCAGATGGACCTCTGTGAATTTGAGGCCAGCCTGGTCTACAGAGCTAGTTCCAGGACAGCCAGGGCTCTGCTACACAGAGAAACTCTTTCTTGAAGAAAAAAAAAGATTAAAAAAACCCAAAATAATCAAAAAAAAATAAAAATAAACAAACAAGCAAAAGTATAGTATAAGATCCAGCCAAAACACCAAACGTATAAAACCCTACAAATAAAATATAATAGACAAATCTGAAGAAGCAAGATGCATAGCCAATTAGGAACTGAATAGCTAGATAGTCGAGTAAGGACCCGGTAATAACTCTTGTAATGAATGAAGACGACCATTAGCCCTTTCTCTCTGGAAAATGAAAAATCCACTCATTTTCTTTTCTTGCTTTTATCTGGAAATTAAAGGTTAGTAAGTGGTGATTAGCAGGGCTCCTGTCAAAGCCAATTGCCTAGCGGAGACGACATTTGGACAGGAGTCGAAAGAGCGCAGTAAGGTTAATGGAGAGGTCATTAGTCCCCGTGTGGCCTCGACATTCTTTTCTCCTACGGGACAGGCAGCCCTCACTCAGCCTCTCTCTCTAGCACACCACAGGCCGGCCTCACTCAGCAGCTTTCTCTCTAGCACACCACAGGCAGGCCTCACTCAGCCTCTCTAGCACACTAGCAAGCGGTTGCATTTCCCTTGCAGGTCAGGTGCCATGGTGGAGTGGGAAGGGGATGGTGGGGTGAGCTCGTGCTCTCCAGCTGCTCTCAGCCCATCTTGGGGCAGGGCTTCCCTAGACTCACTGACAGTGCTGACTCACACCTCCTGACGCTGGGGTGTGAAAGGGATCCTGCCTTCTCCCTAGGTCACGCAGCATTTTCTGTAACCTCTGCAGCCTTGGGGATTTAACACCCCGTGTCCTGAGCAGATAACCCAGTGGCAAAAGTCAGAGCGAGGGAGCCTGGTGACTTCGTCTCTCGGACTCGCGTGTGTGCCCTGGTACCCACAATGCCTGCATCCACTTCAAATCTCACACACACATACAAATTTTAAAAATGGAGGAGGGGGCTGGAGAGACGGCTCAACGGTCAGTTAAGAGCACTAGTTGCTCTCGAAGAGGACCTTGAGTTTGAGGCTCTCAGTACCCACATGGCAGCTCAATCATCCATAACTCCAGTTCCGGGTTATCCAGTGCCCTCTTCTGATCCCCAGGGACACCAGACAAACCTATGGTACACAGCCACTCATGCAACCAAACACTCCTCCACTTTAAGTCAATCTAAACATTTTAATAAGTAAATCTTTAAAGTTGTACAGAATGCAAAGAATTGTTCCATATCACATAGTACTACTTTCCTATCTGAGATGATTTTGCCCAGGCTGGCCTCAAATGATCCTCCTGCCTCAGCTTTTCAAGCAGTGGGTAACAGGTGCACCATAACATGGTACCTGGCTTCCTGCAAGACTCAATCATGCTGATCATCCACACGGATGGAATCTGTTCCATGTCTGGCAAGCTGGCTCGGTGGATAAGGGTGCTTACCCCCTCCAGGTCTGAAGAACTGGGTTCAGTCGTCAGGGCCCACGTGGAAGGAAAGAAAGACCATTCCCAGAACAGGTAAATAACCCAAAGCAAACTCCTGGACCAAATTATTTTAGCCCCAAACCTGATTCTATTTTGAAATTCTCTCATATTTTTTGAGACTGGGTCTTCCTCTGTAACCTTGGCTGGCTTGGAATTCACGCTGTAGACCAGGCTGGTCTCAAACTCAGAGGTCCTGAGTGCTGAGGTTATTAATGTTGATAGTATTCTTAGTTCTAATATAACCTGGACTTCTAGGAACCTACACATTTAACACGAAGCCTAAGGACAGATGTTACTCTGTTCAGAACCTCACTGGGGAAATCGCACTGCCAGGACTGCTGTTAGGGCTCATGGCCCACTCACTCTGCCAGCCTGCCTCTGAGAATCCATGGTCATCAATGACCCGACAGCTGGCTGTACATGCGGTCACATGCAGACAGCGGCACACACACTATTTTATCAGAAGGCATTTCCCTTAGTGTTTGTGTACTTTACACTCAGAAGGGACTGGTGTTTCTGAACAAGTGACAGGAAGGACCGAGAGGCAGCATCAGCAGAGGCTTTATTGAAGGACAGAGCACCGTCACAAAGATGCTGGGAGCTGGCGGTGCTGACACAGGAACTGACATGTAAGGCACTGAGATGTAAAAGGGGCTGATGGACATGGCTCCTGCTATAGGCAAGGGAGCAAGGGGTTTTCTGAACCCCACCTTCACCCCAAGACTTAATGCTATATTTCTTTGCTTAACTGGGCAGTGCTGAGGGATGGGTCATTAGGGGAACATGCTCAGCATATATGAAGCCCTAGTTCAATCCCCAGCACCCAGAACCTACACACAGACACGCACACACAGACACACACAAAATTAAAAGTAACTGAGGCATGTGTCTCTCAACAGCACTAGATTTGTTTTATTTTGGTTTTGTTTTTTGAGACAGGGTTTCCCTGTGTAGTAGTTTGGCGCCTGTCCTGGAACTCGCTCCTAGACCAGGCTGGCCTAGAACCCACAAAGATCCACCCGCCTCCGCCCTCCGACTGCTGGGATTAAAGGCGTGCGCCACCACTGCCTGGCTGACAGTGCTGTTTTCTTCCCAGAATACATAAATCAAATGCCCCAAAACTGAGCATCCTTTCCCTGAAAGCAGCCAGCACTGTAGGCTGCGAAGTTGCAGAAGCCTGAGCAGATACGGGAGAGAAAGCCAGAAGTGCTGTGCTCTGCAGAGACGGGGACCCACAGAGCATGCGAGAATCACTTAATGGCGCTTTGGGCCCCCTGCTGGCAGAGCATATTAGAAAACTGAACAGAGTTTTGCAGTGGCGACAGCTCCGCAGCCCTGAGTCGGGTACCAAAGATGGTGGCTTAGGCTCCATGTCCCTGGGGGCTGCAGATTCAGAATATGCCTTTAAACAAACAGCAGCCACACTCATTAGCTTGAGAAGCAAGTTCATGGCCACGATCACTGCATTAGCCTTTTCTTTCCTTATCTGTGTCTAAAACTCTACTGTTTTAAGTTGTTGAATAAGGACATTGAGTCCAAAGTAGGAGAGATTTTCACAGCCTTGGACAATACTTTTACTTGGCACCTAAGGCCGAACATAAATTCTGGGAGCTGGAGAGTTGGCCCAGTGGCTAAATGAAGTGGCTACTCTTCCAGAGTACCCAGAGTCTGTAACTCCAGTTCCAGGGGACCTGACACCCTCTTCTGGCCTTTGTGGACTCAAGATACACACATGGTACATGGACATACATGCGAGCAAAACACTCATACACATACAAGAAACAAAAATGAAGATCTAAGTACGCCGAGAGGAGGTAGAAGTATACTGGCGTAAATGAACGGCAGACAGAAATTATAATATAATATTAGGCTTTAATAATTAAAAGATATTTAATAATATTTAATAATGAAATAATAAGAGGTTCCCGCAGAGAACAGGAAAGCAGAAGGGAAGGCAGGAACACACCAGGAATATTTATTAGTAAGAAATATCCTCAGGGGACCTCGCCCTACAAGCGAGGTGATTGGCTGGGGGGCTTCCCCTACATAGAAGGACACAGAGCGGCCTTTCTGGAGGGCGTAGCCACCTCAGCTACAACAGCATCCTGGAAGGCAGGAGGTAGAGCGGCGCAGAGGCAGTACAGTGGGAAGGGAGGTTCTTCACTGCTAACAAAACCAAGGGCTTCCTCAGCAAAGTGTGCTTCCGGTGGAGCTACTTGGGGTCTTGTCTGGCGCATTTGGGGCTCTGCTGTTCCTCAGGCAGTGGATCCCTCCCTCACCGAGACATTCCTAAGGGAATGCAACCTCTGCACTTGCTGCAGGCCCACTAGACTGTCTCTTTCTTTATGACCCCGCTCAAGGCAACAGCCAGGGTTCTGGGGTCCTCCTTGGAGACCAGCTGCAGCGAGAATAAGAACCACTGAGCCCACAGCTTCTGGGACCCTTGCCTGTGCGGTGCGTGCCCGCTTTTTCCTCTTCTCTTTAGAGACAGGGTCCGGGACTGTGGCCCAGACTGGCCTCGAATGCACGGCAATGCACCTTTCAGAGCACACGATCGCTCAAGCCCGACAGGAGGCTGAACGAGGCTCGAGTGGCTATCATTTCCCTTTCCTTCTACCTAGAATTGGGAGGCACTCGGTGCACAGGAACAAGAACAAAGAGTGAAGAATACCCACCCCAAGGGACTCCGTCTAGGCAGTCAGCACAGGACGGACCCCACAGACTGCCTGCTCGCCCCATGGTGCTGATGATGTGCCAAGGGCTGATCATCACCCCCAGCCTTATGTTTGCCTCCTGTGCCACTTCTGTACTGGCTGTGCAGTACGTAGGGATTTTTGACTCATCTTTGTTCTTGCTGTCTCCTCATCCCTGAGAGCCCAGCCTTTTTTTTTTTTTTAAATATTTATTTATTTATTTATTTATTTATTTATTTATTTATTATGTATACAATATTCTGTCTGCATGTATGCCTGCAGGCCAGAAGAGGGCATCAGATCTCATTACAGATGGTTGTGAGCCACCATGTGGTTGCTGGGAATTGAACTCAGGACCTTTGGAAGAGCAGGCAGTGCTCTTAACCACTGAGCCATTTCTCCAGCCCGAGCCCAGCCTTTTTATGGACACACCACACTCTGCTGACCTGGTCAGCAGTGGATGAACACCTCTGTTTCCCTTACCGAGGACATTATCTTTTTATTACTTTTTTTTTCAAGGCAGGGTCTCATTCTGTAGCTCTGGCTGTCCTGGAACTATGTGGACCAGGCTGGCCTTGAGCTCCTTCTGCCTCTGCCTCCTGAGTGTTGGGATTAAAGGTGTGCACCACCACGTCAACTTATTTTTTTATACCTCTTGGATTTTGAACTATGTGAATGTATTTATTGGTTGGGGTGCCCCTCTGTATGCTGTGAATATGTTTTATTACCATTGATTAACAAAGGAAGCTGCTTTGACCTATGGCAAGACAGAATATAACCAGGCGGGAAATCCAAGCAGAGGGTCAGGAAGAAAGAAGGCAGAGTGAGGAAGATGCCAGCAGTTGCCAGAGAAGCAAGATGTGAGGTAACGAGCCACACGCCTCATGGTAAAATATACAACAAAAGAAATGGGTTAATTTAAATTGTAAGAGCTAGTTAATAGCCGGGCGATGGTGGTGCACGCCTTTAATCCCAGCACTCGGGAGGCAGAGGCAGGTGGATCTCTGTGAGTTCGAGGCCAGCTTGGTCTACAGAGTGAGTTCCAGGACAGTTAAGGCTGTTACATAAAGAAACCCTGTCTTGAACCACCCCCCCCCAGCCAAAAAAACAATGGAATTACTACAGCAGGAGAGATGGGGGCACAGAACCTAAGATACCAGGACAGCAGAGGCTAGGGAGCGTTGTGGGCTGTGGAGGGGACTCACTTGGAGCTCCTCTTCTGAGAGCAGGATGATGTTGTCCAGTTCCTTTTTCAGCATCCTAGCCATGTTCTTCCACTTCACCCCGGCTCCGCTGTCTGTCTCATGGGCATCAAAGGACTTTTGGGAAACCCAGGCTGTTCCTCCATCTGATACAGAGAGAATGCCAGTCAGGTCAGCAATTCAGGGGCCGCTTTGCCTTCAACCCCAACACTCAGCAGCATGGAAAATGAGCATGTCCTCCGGCCTGTCATATTGTCATGACAGGGACGCACCTTTTCACAGGATGTCACAGGAAAGCTAATCCCCACCTCAGGCCTTGTTCTCTCTTCTGTCTTCTGTGTCCCACCCCCTATTTCTGTGTGAAATTGTACTGCATTAAATGTGGTGGCTAACATCATCTTTAATCCCAGCCCTCAGGACATTGAGGCAGGGGGACTGCAGCGAGTCTGAGGCCAACCCAATCTTTGGATGAAAACCTTGTCTCAAAAAGAAAAAAAAGGAAACAGCAGCTACTTAGGTCACACAGGGGCCAAAGGTCCGACCACACCTCTCTTTGATTAGTCTTTGTGCTGGGTGTGTTCTTTTTTGGGGAGCTGGGGTTTCTGTAGCCCGAGCTAGGCTTGAATTCACGGTGTCGTGGAGGTTAGCCTAGGACTTCTGACCCACCTGCCTCTGACTCCTAAGTTCTGGGATAACAGGTGCCGGCCACCATGCTTGGCTGTGTTGTTTTTGTACGTGACTCTGACCAGCAGCACTGGTCCTGGGGTGGCGAGGGGTGGGGACAACGGTGGCTGATAAAGCTACAGCTGACGGGCGATTTCCTCAGCGTAGCAGCAATGTTTTTTCCCCGCAGACGCTCTGCCGCCTCTCTGCTGCAGGCGCTTCTCTAGCTCTCAGACGAGCGAGCGTTAATTTGAATCTACCGTGGTGACGACGACGGGCATCGCTAACCTCTACTGAACCCGTGTGCCAGAGAAGAGCAGTCACGAAGACGAGGCCTTGGCTAGTGTCTGGAGACACACTCGGCTGTGACTGTCACAGTCGCGACAGACGGATACTGTAATTATCATTTCCATAAGAACCTGGCAGGCTGTGTCATCTGCCCAGTCGCCTGGCCTGACACGGCAGAGCCACAGTCTCACTCGTCTGCGTCCCTTAGCCCTGGGCCTGGTACACGGAGGGGCTCAGGTAGCATGGCCGTGCAAGTGTTTAGACAGTCAGACGAACAGCAACCGCTTGCCCGTGAAGCCAAATGAACCGTGACAGCAACACTGGCTGTTCGGCCCAAAGTTCTTACCCGAATTGTTATACGCCCGCTCCTCATGACAGGCCAATGCCACAAACTTGGTATTGCAAGGGAGACAAAGGGAGCAGTCGTCATCGTCCACTATCGAATTGTCCTCTGCCAGGACCAGGGTGACTGGTGTCAGGGACTCACCAATGGCCAGTACTTCGCAAGCTGAAAATAGAATGTTCGGCAGGTGACAAACATGTCAAGGAAATTACGCCCCTCTTGGTACTCTCGTGTGTGCCCCAAGAGCTAGGTAGAATTGCTGGAAGATAATAATAGATAAATCATAACCATAACTCTTCGTACCAATGTAACACTTACCATATGCCCGGTACTATTCTAACTGCTTGTCAGGTAAACTACGAATCCTGTAAGGAGGTCCTATTCTTATTCCCAATTTACAGACAATGAACCTATGCTCAGACAGATTAGGTAACCTATTCAAAATCCCACAGTAAGTGGCTCAGGTGAGATGCATTTTTATTTTTTAGATTTTTGTATGTATGAATGTTTTTTTCTGAATGTATGTATATGGGCCACATTCATGTCTTGTACCCAAGGAGGCCAAAAGAGGGCGCTGGATGCCCTGGAACTGGAGTTACAGATGGTTGGAAACTGTCATGTGGGGGCTTAGAACTGAACCCAGATCTGCAAGAGCAGCCAATGCTTTTAACAGCTGAGCCATCGTTCCAGCACCCCAAACTGAGATTTAAACCGAGTGGCTCCTGAAAACGTTTCCCGCAGCTTCTCTGCACCCTGACATCGGAGCCGTTACCCAGAACCTGGTCTAATTTCCAGTGGACAAGTAACGCTGACTCCTGTTCACTTACTCAGTGCTTGTCTTGAGTTCTACACATCCAGTGTCAGAGAAGAGAGAAAAGTGCTTGCTTGCTTGCTTGCAGCTATATACAATAGCTTGTAGCTATCGTCCTTCACGGCTCTTCTAACCAAAGGAAAATACAGCAGCGGCAGAAACTTGTCTCAATAGCTTTGCATTTTTATTACTGCCAGGCAAGAGGCCCTCTACAATGCTGGCATCCCCCAAAACAGGACAGCCAGTCTCCTTTAGGCTCAGCTGCAGAGAACACAGTTCTCTGTGCCAAGGACACCCAGCCGATGCAACAGAAGTAACCTAGTGCCAGGGGTGAAACGCAAACACTGATGTGGCGGAATCTCGGTCACCAACTCAAACCCTGCTCCTGGGTCTCAGTGGCTCTGCGGAAGCGCTGCACACCCAGCATGCACGATGACTACAGGTCCTGGGCTAGTTTCCATGGAAACCCTGCAGAACTTCTTTGGCTACACAATTTGTTGCTGTGGGATAATAACGCTTATAAAGAATATTAACATAAAATCTCCTTTGAGATCCAACAATCCCTTGACACAAGGCTGGAAATGCATCCACTACGCTGCTGAAAAACTAAGGCTCCAAAGATAAACGCAAGGTCCAGCCGTGTAGTCAGGCTCAGAACCTGGGTCAGTTCACGTTCCTTGTATGAACTCAAGGGGGCAGGTACTGGCAGCTCCCTTTTAATGGGACAGGTACTAACTGTGGACACCCGTCCCGACCCGGCCAGCGACCCCAGGACCGCCTCTGTGAGCCAGAGTAGAGAGAATACGCTGGACTCCGTTGGATCCAGATCAGGCCAGTGAGCCTGGACCCGCACAGAGCCTCACACCGGAGATAAATGAAAGCGCCAAAACCCTGTCAATCGCTGGACCCACGTGGGCCGCTGCAGTCCCTAGGTGACCGGGGTCACCTTCCCGACCCCTCCCGGTCCCCTCAGCAGCCCACCTTTGCGCCACAGCTCCTCGAGGCAGGAGGCCGCCACGCCATACTGATCGCGGTTGTTTGCGGCGCAGCAGACACGGCTTGAGAGGCCGGACGTCGTCCGGGTCCGGAGCCGCTTTCCAGGTCTCGCCACAGCAAGTGACGTGAGAGCAAGGCACGCCGGGAGATGTAGTGCTGGCTAATCGCGTGCGTTTCAGGGCACTACTGGAGTCCTGTGGTTTCTGGGTTCAAAGTTGGGGTCAGGAATTCAGCTCAGGAAAGTGGGAGAGACTGTTAGCTTTCCTTTTTAAAATTCTTTTCTTTCCTCTCTCCTCCCTTTCTCACCCATCCCCTCCCTTCTCTTCTTTAAAACACTGTATGGTAATGCCTGGTGGTGGTGATGCAGGCCTTTAATCCCAGTACTCAGGACGCAGAGGTAGGCAGATCTGTGAGTTCAAGGTAAGCCTGCTCTAAAGGGCGAGTTACAGAATAGCCAGAGCTACACAGAGAAACCTTGTCTCAAAAACAACAACAAAACCCCAAACAGACAAACAAAAAGCTGACATTGAGTTAGTTGCGTGGTGGCACAGGCCTCTACTCCTCAGGAGACAGAGGTAGGAGAATCTTAGTGAGTTCAAGTTGGCCTGGTTTCCATAGGGAGTTTCAGGACAGCTAGAGTTACATAAACGAAGAGAGATATTGTCTTAAAAATACATACATACAGAGAAACCGTCTCGAAAAACAAAACAAAATAAAAAAAAATACATGCATAGATAATGACTCCTGGTAAAAGAGAAGAGATAATGTCTTTTTTTTTTTTTTTTTTTTTTTTTTTTTTTTTGACAGGGTTTCTCTGTAGCTTTGGAGCCTGTCCTGGAACTAGCTCTGTAGACCAGGCTGGTCTCGAACTCACAGAGATCCTCCTGCCTCTGCCTCCCGAGTGCTGGGATTAAAGTCATGCGCCACCACCGCCCCGTGAGATAATGTCTTTAAAATGAACAAATAAATAAACGAAGATTCCAGGCAACCCTCCTGACTTAGCACAGCAAATGCTGGCATTACATATATATAATATACATAGTATAAGCCAATCTTCCAAGCCTTGGTTTTCCTTTTCCAGCCTTAGAGATCTTATCAGTCTGCAGGAGAAGCTGCCCGGCCCTGCCTGCTGAGTAGGCCGAGTTCTCTCTCTCAGAAACCATTACACCTGAGGTTAATTTGTAAACCCCCACCTGCCCAAGGACCAGGTAACTTCCTGGGAGTCTGGGAAAGTATAGTGACCTATGGGCTTTGTCCATAGAAGCTCCGCCCACACTGTCTCAAGGCCACTCACCTGGAATCTTTTCGTCTTGGTCAGTGTTGGGGGGGGGGGAGTGTTCTTCTTCTTCTCGGGACGAAAGGAGGACGCAAGAGCATGCGCAACAGTGAAGGGAGAGAAGGGAAAAGAGGAAGAACGCACAGCGTCTCAGCTTTTAAAGAGGACCCTCACGCCGTGTGTCAAACTGCGCCACGTTCCGTGCCTGCGCGGCCTTTGCGTTGAATGCTGCGAGCTTCTGGGTGCAGGGAGGAAGGCCTTGGTCCTGCCTCCAGTGACGTGACAGACTTTGTTGACTTTGCAAATCCATGCAGTGTGTTTAAGGTTTGGCTCCTGTGATCAGAAAAGGCTAGAGATAGCCGGGCGGTGGTGGCACACGCCTTTAATCCCAGCACTCGGGAGGCAGAAGCAGGCGGATCTCTGGGAGTTCGAGACCAGCCTGGTCTACAGAGCTAGTTCCAGGACAGGCTCCAAAGCTACAGAGAAACCCTGTCTAAAAAAAAAAAAAAAAAAAAAAAAAAAAAAAAAAAACCCTCTCTAAACAGATTACAGTGTATTTAAAATGTGCATAGGCCAAGAAAAAAATGGGTATAGACAGTCATAGAAAAAAGTAGTTTTCAAATAATAAAGTCTTTAAAGAGAAAGTAGAGTAATATAAAAAGAAAAATGCTATATAAAGATGGGAAATACACAGGGAGTCTGGGTCCTGTATGGAGCTGTGTTGGCTTGGAATCTTTTGATTGCTGATCAGTGAACAGCAGTTGCAGAGAGACTTGGGATCGTAAAAAGGATTGCTGAATTAAACCAGCCTAGATATTTTAGGGATGCCTTAACTTTAAAATGGAATTCAAAAAATGTGTTGAGTTGGGGAAGAGGTTAGTCTTTTGATTTCACAGGAAACATAAGGCTGTGGATTCTTTCAAGGTTGATAGAGATCAGTTTTGATTGGGAGAGATCCCCTGCAAACCTTGACTACAGACATAAGAAATGAACCAAGAAAAAGTATGTGACATGTGACCTGTGTGCAGATCCCTGGGTATGGGAACAGTTCTGAGACTTGGCAACAAAAATTACAACTGGTTTTCCCAGGACTTGACCTTTATCTCAATGTTCTCAGGATTTTCTAAAGAGGCCTTTGCCCACAAACAACAGGAAGCAGTCTAGAGAACTCAGTAGCCACATTTCCAAGAGTGGGGTGGGTGATTTTTAGTCATTCCATGGGTTATGGATGACTACTGTCTGAGGGGTCAGCTTCCAGCCGCAGCACAGGGCTTCGAGAGGAATCCACATGGAATTGACATAAACTTTACTTTTCTATCTGAGGGGGGTTTAGGAGAGGAAATGCTCACTCTCTTGATGGCTTGCTCCTTTAGTCTCTGTTCTTCTCATGTTCTTTTCTGTGTTCTTTCTACTGTACACATTTTCCCTACAGCTTATGCATCCCAATGAAGTTTTTCAGGCAATATAAGAATTACAATGTGGGGCTGGAGAGTTGGCTCAGAGGTTAAGAGCATTGCCTGCTCTTCCAAAGGTCCTGAGTTCAATTCCCAGCAACCACATGGTGGCTCACAACCATCTGCAATGGGGTCTGGTGCCCTCTTCTGGCCTGCAACATAGACAGAACATTGTATACATAATAAACATTAAAAAAAAAAAGAATTACAATGTGGAGCCGGGCGATGGTGGCGCACGCCTTTAATCCCAGCACCCGGGAGGCAGAGGCAGGCGGATCTCTGTGAGTTCGAGACCAGCCT